TTAACAAGTTATAAACTGAATAAAAAAAATGGTTCTGTTCGATTACTTTTAAGCTGGTGAGTAATAATTCAAATTTTCCTGCTATAAGCGCATATACATACTCGTAGGACAACTATTGGCCTTACACATTTCCATAATTTGATTGGGTGATATTTTTCCTCATGTAAAGTGACAGAAAATTTCACGCTCACAAGAAGAGTTCTACCAATGAGAAGAACGAGATTTGGAAGGATGTTGTGTTAACAGAAATGACAATCCTTGTCACCAAATGCCAATCAATAGAGGTCTGTTGGATTTGCAAGAAATCGATTTATGCTAACCTAAAACCCTAAGGTTAAGACAGGTATGATTTGTTCCTGGAAACTATGCCTATTACCGGCAGAACTATGTTGTTTTTGCAGAAAGAAACCAAGCACTGCACTTTTAAAGGAACATCTATTTTGTAACAGCTGATGTTCAAGACATGCCAGAATTTGTTGCGGAGCGTTTGTAATTTGAGTGGTGCAGTACATCTGAGCTTCTAGAATTTTAAAGAACACCTCGTGCACAAAGATACCCCCAGTGGTGATTCTACCAAAGAAAATGGGGTGCTTCAAAAATGAACATTCTCTGATTGTATCATTCTGTTTACTCCAAGGAATTTTGTAGTTTTGTTGTTAGTCTTACACTTTCCCCGAACATCTGTGTTGTACAGAACGTTCCCCTACGGGATTTAGGAAAGCATCTCTGACTTGTCAAACACTGTCCACAAATTAAGTTCGGTATTCGAGATTTTTTAAAGCGCTACTCATATCTTTTTGACCCAGCAATGTCTAGTCGCAAAAATGCGCGGCATATTGAGGTGGATGTGTACACATTGGCGACTGTTCTACGTGAGCTATATAAATAATCATTTCAAAAAAACAGATGCAATGGCTAGACTACAATCTTTAGAATGGTAATTTATGCATTTTTGAAAAGTTTTATCATTTATTGTAAATATCGCCACCAGACAGTAATTCCAATAGGCAAAGTCAATTCATAGCAGAACCTCAGTCATACTACTTTGATCATTCCTTTGCATTTTTAGGAAAACTCCTTGATATCAGAC